GGTTAAGGGGTTTCGGGTTTAGGGGCCTTAATAATTAGAAAAGGGTTTAGGGGGCTCCTTTAAGGGCTTCCTTAAAGGGTTTTCTAAGGGCTACTAGAAGGGTTTAGGGTTTAGGAGCCTGAATAATTAGAGTAGGGTTTTGGGCTCTATAACATTATACTAAGGAGCCCCCAAAATAGTATAGGTAATTATTTCGGCCCCTATATTAAGCTGGGGTTCGGCAGTTCCAGGGATCAGGATTCAGGTTGTCGGGCTCAGGATTGGAAGGGGTCAAGGGTTTGCGGCCCAAACGAATGCTTGGCTCTGCCACGCTCAAACCCTCAAGCACCCAAACCACCTGAAAACGCTTGAATCACAAGTCCGCTAGCCCTAAACCCTCAACCCCAAACCCTAAACCCTTGAGTCATAAATCCCCTAATCCTCTCACCCAAAGCTCCTCGAAGTCCGACACGGCTCCTGTCCACAGCACTTGCTGAGCCCGGGGCATGATCCCCATGGGGTAGCAGTAGTGCTCCTGGTCATGTTCAACATCTTCAAAGCTCACGATTTCAGGGGGAGTGTGGTAGTGAGGCAGGCAGGCAGGCAGGCAGGCAGGCAGGCAGGCAGGCAGGCAGGCAGGTAGGTAGGTAGGTAGGTAGGTGTGGGCTTTTCGGGTTTACACCGACTTCGCTCACTCACCGGCCACAAATTCGCACAATTCGTGGTACAAGTGGGTGAGTCGACAGTGTGATTACCGCTACGGTGCTACTACGGTTGCCATCATCATCACCATCGCCATCACCATCCGCTGCAGCAGCAGCATCATGCGCTTCTGTTGGTATGTTGGGGCAATGCCGCCAGGATAAGGTTTGATTCGAGCATCGGACCACCAGCTCAGAAGCCAGGAACATTGAAACCGACCGCTAGCGCTGGTGCCGGGCTTCGGCGCAAGGTCCGTGGTTTCGAGTTCGAGGTTGCGTCTTTGATTTAGGTTGAAGGCTTCGGGTTTGGCACCCGGAGACGAGGAAACTGCAAAACGGTGTCCTCTCGCATCAAGGCCACCCGCATGTGGTAGACCTGCACAAATCTATCTTCGAGGTTTCGCGCGTCTTACCAGGTACCTTCCTTGCCACGAGGCTTCGGCAGGGAACAACGCCAGTTCCTGCATATTTTCGGATTAAGATCTCGCGGTGTATTGTAGAATAATCATAACTAACGGCCCTCTCGAAACAGCATTGACAATTATTCAGGTTTGCATACTACGTGGTTTCCTGTGCAAGAGTCGTCAATCAGGCTTGTGGTAGCGCTCCGGGAGGCTCCTACGTCTTAGAAGAGGGTTTTGGGGTGCATTACAAACTATCAACTCATACGGACGAAGTATTACAAATCAGGATATGACTGCTAATTCCTCAGACCTCTCTGTTAGAGTCTTGTTTCCCAGGATTTCAAAGCCAACCGAGATTGCTTGTAAAGGCATCACTGAATAGTTGGCAACAATATCCCCCGCATAGCCCCTTTAGACAGCGTATTCAATATTGGCTTTCGAAGCTCCTTGCAGGGGGCTCTCGATCTGCCTCCTCGTCCTCCACGTCCAGCATGCCGAACGTGAAGCCAAACACGACCCCCATCGCCTGAGAGCAATTAGGGCTTGGGGTGGGTTTGGTGTTTAGCTAGCTTGTGTAGAGTTTAGGGCTCAAGTGGTTCATGGGTTCATGGGTTTAAGCTTAGGAGTTAACCCTAAACCCTCAACCCTAAACCCTAAACCCTAAACCCTAAACCCTAAACCGTCCAGGTTGAGGATTTTTGGTTCAGCTTGGATACGAGTTAAAGACAAGCCCTAGATCGTTAAACGGTGAGTCCTGCAGCCCAGACCGGGAGAGAGCCAAGAGCCTGCAGGCTTCTAGACACGCTTTAGGGTTTAGGGGTTAGGGTTTAGGGTTTAGGGTTTAGGGTTTAGGGTTTAGGGTTTAGGGTTTTAGCATTGGTGACTTCGGGAAAGCATTGCAAAGGTATCACTACACTGAGCGCGCCGCGAGGGAGACGATGAGGACTAAGAAAACCTGCGGCCATGCGGGCTGGAAGCAGTGGTGAAAAGCTACTCCTAAACATAAACCCATCAGTCGTTCTTCTTATCGATCTCGCATGAAGCAAAAAAGGATCCTTTCAGAAGCAGCATCGGCGGTGGCGGTAGCGGTGAAGGTGGTGGCGGTGGTGGTCGTCGGCGGTGGTTGTAGTAGCAGCAGCGGCAATGGCCGCGGCGGTATTTTCAGCAGGACTAGGAGTGGGCGGAGGCGGAGGCGCAGGCGCAGGACAAGGAGCAGCAGTAGCAGTAGCAGTAGCAGTAGCAGTAGCAGTAGCAGTAGCAGTAGCAGTAGCAGTAGCAGTAGCAGTAGCGGTAGCGGTAGCGGTAGCGGTAGCAATAGCAGTA